TTTATTTTATTTTATTTTATTTTGATCCAAAATGATTCACACAGTGCATAGCTAAAGTAGACATTGTGCTTTCCTGACCCATTCTCTGTTTGGATGGTTTTAAAAAGCATTTTCACTCATGGGTGATAATCCTGTCAGTGGCTACTAGTCATGATGTCTCTATCTTAATTCTGATAAGCCAGTGTACCTCTAGTAGGAAAGATTAGCATGATTGTACAATTGCAGTCTTATCTGTTTATGAGCTTCCCAGAGACACAGCAGAATTGGAGGGACGGGGGGGGGATAGGGACAAGGGGGTAGACTTAAAGAAGCCACAGTGTGGCATTGCAACCCCAGGCCCACCCCTGTTTGATGTATATTGCAACATTTGAAGCCCAGAATGGGCAGAGTTTACAACAGGGGTCTTCAAACTTGGTCGTGCCTGGCTGAGGAATTCTGAGAGTTGAAGTCCACAAGTCATAAAAGGGCCAAGTTTGAAGACCCCTGGCTTACAACATGATACCACAATGCTGTTTTCATCATTCTGATGACAGTACAGGCAGTCCTCAAATTATGACTACAGTAGTGAGCTCTGGATTTCCATTGCTAAGCAAGACCATTGTTAAGCGAGTTTTGCCCCCATTTTATCACCTTTCTCGCCACAGTTGTTAAGTGAAGCACTGCAGTTGTTAAGTTTGTAATCCAGTTGTGAACTGAATCTGGCTTCCCCGTTGACTTTGCTGGTCGCAAAGTTGCCAGAGAGGATCACATGACCCCGAGACGCTGCAACAGTCATAAGCACAAGCCAGTTGCCCAACGTCTCATGATCACAGGGATGCTATAACAGTGGTAAGTGTGAAAAACGGTCATAAATCACTTTTTTCAGTATCGTCGTATCTTCAAACGGTCATGAAATGAAATGGTTGTAAGTCAAGGACTGCCTGCGGTGAGAGCCTGCGAGCCCCATAGCAAAGGCATCTGGTTTTGGCCACTGAGGGATCAGAATACTGGAGTAGACCAGCCTTTGATGTGATCCTTGTATGGCTCTTAACTTTGCCCCTTTCTCTGATACGAACAAGAGTTTGTGCAATTTCAGGTCGTCCTGGTATTGTCAAGAGGGAAATGTAAGGTATAAAAAGTGGCTTGTTTTATAAAAGGGAGGGCCTGATGTAAATCTGAGGGTGTTCAGAGGTCATTGATTTGGCCTTAGTAAAACAAAAAACAAAAAAACCCAGAAGAGATCCCTAAAAAAATACATCTTATACAGTTCCCTGAGCTTTTTGGAATGCTACCTAAAGTAGAGCACCACTTGGGGCTAAATCCTTTTGAATCTGTACATTCACCTAGTGCAGAATGAAGCCTAAATCTGGGAAAGTCCCAATTTAAGTCCTCCAGTTGAAGCCTAAATCTGGGAAATTCCCGATTTAAATTCTCCAGCTGAAATGTGCTAATCATCTTCCTCCTGAATAAGCTGCCCTGCCAGTAGGTTATGAATAGAAACCATTCTATTATTTCCTGGTAGAACAGACTATTTTCCTTGGTGATCTGCAGTTAACATACCGTCTTAAGAGAGGACATTCCATTACCTGACTGTCTGCCAAAAGTCTTGCTGGAGTTTACCTCTTGGGTCAAGTTGCTTATTATTTACTGTGCAGCTTCGGGGAAATTGCTGGCAACGGGTTCGAGTTGTGTGCTACCTACTTTTCCTTAGACTTTTTCAGCCTTGGTTAACTAGCTGAGCAAGGTGAGCGTAGCTGTTTGATTCGTGCTTTTTCAGGGTGGCTGTTGCATTAAAGCTCTCGTGTAAACTGAGTGGCATATCCTGTTCCTTGGAAGGCGGAGTGAGTAGAGACGTAGGAGGAGAAACCCAAGTTCATCGTCTCAATCAACAAAACAGCCACTGTCCCCGTATCTCTTCTCTTTACCGCTCCTGTTTCTAGCTATAAATTGGTCACTTCTGTACATCCTGAGGAGGCAGGTGTCAGTCTGTTGTTTTTTTTTTAATCTCTGGAAGCAGAGCTGAGCTATAATGTCCCGTGGAGAATACAAGCTTGAATACAAGAGTGAGTACAGTTGCAGTCTGCTTTCCTACAGGGGAGGTGGTAGTATAAAATTATTGTCTGTGTTGCGAAACTCTGCAGACCTACCTTCTTCCTTGTGGCTGGGTTATTTTGCTATTTTGAGGAGAAGTACAGGGTATTGTGAATGCCTTCTGTAGAACGTGATGTCCTTATAACCCTTTGATCTATTTCTTGCTAGGGTGATGGAAGAGATTTAATTTATTCCCAATGCTTCCCCCCCCCCCAAAAAAAAATCAAGATGTGGTTTTAATAGACCGTCCAGATTAATGATCTAAGTTTAGGGGAAAATATAGCTACAGAGCCCATTAACAAGGTAAATGCTTGTATTTCAATGAATAGACCTGAAGATCAGCCCAGTCCAGCATTTGGATTCCAGAAGTGAGTAGCCACTGAGTTGTAGGTAAGGAAATAAGAAGATCAGAAACTCTTTCATGAATGAATAAAATACGCAAGAACTTCAAATGGGAAAAAAGTGGTAGGTTTGGGAGAGAAAAAAACAGTTGGCAACTGTAGGGTTACAATTGAGCATATCAAAATAAATTCTTTTAAGCAGACATAAACAGAGTAGATTGCATGTCTGCAAGGTGAGAATATTAAGAAAGGTCAGATTCCCACCCTGTGGATGTTCAATCAAACATATAATTTCTCAAACAAACAGATAAGGAAAGGGAGGCGATGGCTTCGGTTATGTGATAGTTAAGTAGGGAGGAGAGCAAATTATTTCCCATGCTACATAGATTGGGGGGAAAAAAAAGAAACATTCTTATCCCAGAATTCTACAGCTTGCAGGGAGAGAGCCAGAAGCGGTCTAACTGTAATTGTAATCAAATGAACATTCAAAAAGCAGCCTTTAGGCTTCAGCATACAACTGGGAATATAGGAAATGTCCAAAGAGTTTTCATTCCAAGAAAACTCTATAGCCACAGCAGAAAATCGCCCATATAAATTTATAGAACTCCCTTTCTGTCAAAGCTAGAGGCTCTTTGTCAGTCTTAACACTTCCATCAGTCTGGACTGTCGTGGTCGTCAGCCATTCAGCCATGTCCAGTCTTTGGCCACTGTATGGATCAACACTCTCCATGCCCCCTCTTTCTCACACTTGACTCCTTCAGATCCACCATGGTCATCCCAGTGTCATCTTTTATACTGTCCAGCCAGCGGATACTAGGGCCTCTCTTTCTCCTTTTTCTGCTGATCCTGCAGGATCTTAGATAATGAATGGGTGTCATCTAAGAGTTACATCTGGGGACTGGAGTAGCTATCAAGTTGTCTGTGTTTAGTTGCACTTCCTGGAAAGACCATACATGCTGTATAGAGGCAGGCATTCCTATCTAACTGTATGTGTCTCTTTGAATCCAAGTTCAGTTTTCTGTTTTGTTTTATTTGTGGAGTTAAGGATTAAATACCTTTGCATAATTGTAAATAATACAACCATGACATGGATGACTGAGAATCTCCATATACCTTTGCATAAATGACAACAATTTGGTGTGTGTGTGTGTGTGTGTGTTCAGTTACTGTGTGCAAGTAACAGCTAGTTTACCTGTTAATTTAAGTTCCTTGTGCAGATATAGGTCGTTAGATCATCTTGCCCCTACCTGGCTCCCTGCAAATATATTGGTTCCATACTATAATGGGTAACATTTTCAAATGGCATGAGATTTTTTTCCCCCAGTGGATGAAGCATAACATGATGCATTTCTCTGTATATTACATCTGTCTTGCTGCTCTTCCGCTCTTCCTACTTCTCCACTTCCTTATCACATCATTCTGTTCTTGCTGTGCAGAAGATACCTCTGGGGATGGTGTTAGTACCATTTACAGCAACCCAATAACGCCACAGGCCTCAGACTCTGCAGATGAATTTACCACCTACTTTGATCAGAAAATACCTATACCAGAAGATGAAAAGGTTAGTATGGGTCATAAGAGTGATGGTGGGGTCACCATAGGTGATCATTTCCCTGGTATTTTATTGAAGAGCACCCATTGTGTCACAGAAAGGGGAGCGTGAAGAATTACTGGTCACAGTAACATTTGCTTAAGATATGCTTAGTTTATGCTCCGGTTCACTATAAGCTGTCAAATATATATTAGTGGAACATTTTGATGTTTCTGAAGATTCAAGAGAATTAACTTGGTCTCTTGATTGCCTGTTGTGTGTCTGGATGAGTCACTTTTCTGCAGTTGCTTTCTTCTTATTTTAAGTCAGTAATTGATGCAGCAACTCAGGGATTGATGGAGACTGAGCCTCCTTTAAGTATTGTGCTCAATCAGTCTCCCTCTAAGTGCTTTTAACTGTAATTTTCATCAGCTCTAACCTCTGACTACGTCATTTGGAGTGAGTGAAAGTTATATTCTATAACATGTGGAAGTATCCAGAGAGGAGAAACCTGCTCTAAGCAATAAATTGCTTCAGTTAATGATTAAAAAATGCCTTTAGTATTTAAAAATCTGTACTTCTCTTTCCTGTGCTCTTCCGGGCATGGAATACATTTGATCTCAAATATAATACGTCTTTGCTTCTTCCTAATGCTTGTCAAGGATGGGAGATGATGGAATGAGAGTGATATTTTACTAGCCACTGTAATTATTGAATGACTATACGGAGGAAACAATAATCCTCTGTGAAGAAAACAGTTACTGCCTTTAATTTCTTAAATGAATAGTTGCACCCATAGTCATTTTTGTACATTTTGTTTCTTGAAAAGATCCCATCATCTGTGGGTTGCCCTGACTTTAAGGTTCTTCTGTTACTAAAGGCTTTCATTTTGGAATTCTAAATAAGAATTATATTAAAGGAATATGCAAGCTAAGGACAAAGGTGGTTTTTTTTTACTCTCTAGCATTATATATTCTGAGTATTGAGTAGGGCTCATAATGTATACAAGCATAAATTCTTTTTTTATTATCTCAGACTTTTTTATCTGAGCAGTAGAATTTAGGATAGAGATGAGGAAATAATTTAAACTATTATTAAAAATTGAGTTGTTAAAAATTAAAAATTGATCCTTTGCAAAGTACTCTAGTTGTCTTAAGAGTTGCTAACTGATCTTCCACATCAAAGTTTACGAAAAAAATATATAAGGCTTTCCTAGAACTGACTTTGCAAGACCTAGTGTAATTTATTATGAAAGTAAATTGATAACACTATGCCATATGTGGTGTAAGTAAAATATTATGCTTTGCCTCTTTAAATTAACAGTTTTCTTGGATTTAAATAATAACAAATAATTAACAGCATAACAGTTGAAGTTAATGTGTGAATTTATTTATTCCCCTGTGTGAAAATGCTTAATATCTCCCCCCTCCTCCACCTTTCTCCATTTCTATTCATAAAGCACCCATTGTTCAGTATTCGAAAACTATGGGCCTTCACTGGGCCTGGTTTCCTGATGAGCATTGCCTACCTGGATCCAGGTAACATTGAATCAGATCTACAGTCTGGGGCAGTTGCAGGATTTAAGGTAAGTACCGTAGCTAATCTGTCTTTTTGTAAAACCTTTCACTTTGAAACCTGTTGTAGAGATTGATCTGAAGAATGTCTTAACAATTCAATTCAAGGGCACTGAGCAAAACAAACATTTTTCTAAACACATTTTTTTTTGTAGACGCTTTCCTTAAAATGTACATTGAAAATGTTTGAAAATGGGATTTTGCAAGGTTAGGGAATGACAATAAAGTACAACAGAGGAGAATTTTCTTGGTTTGTGTTCTTACATCTGGTCACATTGAACTGATTCACATTGAAGATTAATTGCCATGCATTATTAGGTTGATTCATCAGAATGTGTACTGTTCATTATGGGTTACCTCTTAACATCTAGAGGCATGCCATAAAAATTGGGGACAGAACAAATAGAATACTGGAAGCAACGCCTGTGATTTCCCACATTTAAAAAGAATTATTAGATATTATGTTTTATTGTCGCATCTAACTGAATACCTGTCTTTGCTACCAGCAAAGTTCCATAGTCAGGCCCCAGGAAGCATGGGTTTCTTTGGAGAAACATCTCTGAGATGTTTCAAATGTCCAGGGTTCTGCACAAACAGACGAATGTTTATGTAGCAAACACCTATTTGGAATGTTCTTATTTGAACATTAAATTCTCCAGAACAAAAGCCCAAATATGTCTGAGGTAGAGTATGGTTCTCTGGGACAGGTTTTGATTGTGAGAGGGCTTGGATAAATATCTCCAGAAATGCAGATATTGTTTAGTTAGCAGAATCCCCTAGATTGTTGTTCATCTTCCAGAATATTGCCATCCTGGCTGCTTTTCATTTTCTGTGTTTATTTATATGTTTTTCAGCTACTCTGGGTTCTCTTGTTGGCTACTGTCATTGGTTTGCTCTTACAACGTCTGGCGGCAAGGCTGGGAGTAGTAACAGGACTTCATCTGGCAGAAGTATGCAATCGACAGTATCCCAAGGTGGGTACATTGGCTGTGTCTGCATGAACATCCCAGGCGATAGAGGGGCATTCTTTTTCAAGGATTGGGGCTTCCAGAGCCAGTCAGCAGATCATATTTATTTAAGTTCTTTGTTAAATGTTGAACATGTTGACTTGCAACTGCTAATTCTTCACTCAAATCAGCACTACTCATGGCTTATCCGTGGTTTGTTTAACTCAGCTTAGCCTGACGTGAAGGCTGACTGTGACTCTTATCACATCAGAAGAAGCCATTACCAAACTAACCTCTTGCCATGCTTCAGATTCTCTTTAGGTGAACAGATCCATAATCCAATGTGAGTGTCTGGGTTGCCAAGCTCTGCTAAATTAGAGCTTGATAGTGGCAAACATTTGTGAACAGGAGCAACAATTGGATAGCAGTCATGCCTGTGTTTTAGCTATAGGCTTAGGAAAACATGATGTGCAGATATTCTATGATCTATAGATCAGGAGTGGGCAACCATGGCAACGTTATGACCTGTGGACTTCAACTCCCAACTATGCTGGCTCAGGAATTCTGGGAGTTGAAGTCCACTGGTCGTAAAGTTGCCATGGTTGCCCACCCCTGATCTGTAGGATCATACAATAAATAGGGAGAGAGGCAAGACTGCAAAATCTATGAAGACTGGAACCAGGAAAGAAGAGAAGTCCAGGGAAAGGTACTAACTGTGGATAATTCTGAAGTCTCCAAAATTGGAGTTTGAGTTCTTGGTAAAAACAGCTGGGTAAGCAAACAGAATAAAAAAGGAATGAGATAGAGGGATTATCCCAGAGAACAAAAGTACAGAAATTGCGTCATTCTCTCTCTCAACAAAAATGCAAACTCCTCCATCTTGCTTTAGAGGGAGGAGGCCAGGAGGGAGGTAGGATAAGGGGGAAAGGTCACTCTAATTAGAAGAAAAGAGAAGAACCCCGCAGAAGGAGAAAGTTCAGTAGGGAACAGAGAAAAAGGAGGATGTTGCCTCCAGGGATAGAATAAGAGATAGCTATACAAAAAAAAAACCCCTTGGAGGCCTATAACTAGAGAATAGAGAAATGGATTCCACCCTTTTTTTTCTGCAGTCTTTCCCCTTAGTGAAGTTAATGTGGTGGCTTTTCCCTTTCAACAATCATGTCTGCCTTTATTCCACAAATACAGGTAGTCCTCGAGTTACGACCCGTAATTGAGTCTGCAATTACAGTCGTACATCATGACAATTGTAGAGCCGATCACCATGTGACAGTATCTGATTTTATGACCATTTTTGTAGCCTGTAAAGCAAATGCAGCATTTGTAAAGCAAACATAGAAGTGAACATCAGAATTATTAAGTGAATCCATTGTTACCAGAAGTAAACAACACTTTCTGGCAAAAATGTCATAAATTAAAGTCACGTGACAATAACAATAACAATAATGTAGTTGGAAGGGATGTTTGAGGTATTCTAGTCCAACCCCCTGCTCAGGCAGGAAATCTTATACAATTTCACACAAATGGCTGTCCAGTCTCTTCTTAAAAACTTCTAGTGTTGGAGCATTCACAACTTCTGGAGGCAGATTGTTCCACTGGTTAATTGTTCTGTCAGGAAATTTCTCCTTAGTTCTAGGTTGCTTTAGCCTCCAGTCCCCTGATCATCTTTGTTACTCTTCTTTGTACTCTTTCTAGAGTCTCAACATCTTTTTTACATCGTGGTGACCAAAACTGGATGCAGTATTCCAAGTGTGGCCTTACCAAGGCGTTGTAAAGTGGTATTAACACTTCATGTGATCTTGACCATGGGGTGCTGCAAACAGCCATAAATGGGGCTGGTTGTTGAGCACCCAAGATATGGTCATGTGACCATGGCTGGGGGAAGGTGGATGTCCTAGCTCCAAATTTGGGTTGTAAATACTTTTTTTCAGGGTCTGTCATTACTTTGAACAATCACTAAGTGATCGGTTGTAAGCCAAGGACTACCTGTACAAAATGATTTTCCTGCTTCAGTGGAAATTAATGGAGGAAGAAACTTGAATTTTACGTGGGTGAATATGGTGTTTATGTGGTCAAGATCCAGAAGGCTCTGGTCCTGAAAGGGGGAGGATCTTGACTTGCTGGATTAGAGTACAAATATTCTTTGCACAGGTCCTCAGGAAGTGTTTTTGCTTCCTGTGGACACTCTCCTGTGTAGCGCTTATTGTGAATCAGGGAATGACTGTTTAACAATAGATCAATAATACAATCAGTGGATGTCTTCTGAAAAAAAATCTAATCACTGAATAAAAGCATAGTTCTTTTACTTTAAGAGTCAGAAACTTTGGTTTCCAAATTAATATTCAAATGCTCCCTTTCTGTCTTCCCTGTTCAAACTAATGCTCCTACGGTATTTGTTTGATGTTGTTCCCATAATTATTTCAATTACTGATAAATGAATCTCTTAAAAACCTGGAGGTAGACAGGCTTATAGGATATCTTCTTTGGTATGAAATTCCTTTTGGGCCTGCTTTGGCAAGACTGTTGCTTAGAGACGCAGAAATCTCCTACGAAACCCAGGGTCCCCCCCTCCTTTCAGTATTAATTATCCCTTGTTAGGTTGCTCCATTGTTTTTAACTTTGGGTGGTCTGTGTGCATGTATGCATGTTCATAGATGATTTGGCAATTATCCATCTCCTGGATCTGGCACATCTGAAGGAAAACAGCATAGAAATCTTTAAAAACTGACAACAATCTATTGCTTGCCTTTCCCTTCCCTGGAGTTATGTTAGAACTGGGGTCTTCAAACTTGGCCCTTTTATGACTGGTGGACTTCAACTCCCAGAATTCCTCAGCCAGGCACGCTGGCTGAGGAATTCTGGGAGTTGAAGTCCACCGGTCATAAAAGGGCCAAGTTTGAAGACCCCTGTGTTGGAATATTCTTAGTAAGTAGCAGATTTAACTCTGGTGATAATCCAGATTAAATTCTTATTGTAATAATTACCTTTTTCCTAAGGGAAACAGTGCATTCTACAGTTCACTGCTTCTAAGGTTGTATGGAAACTGCTCCAACACAGTTCCTCCTTACCAGGATGAAGGTCTCATCAGAAACTGCAGGATTACATGGGAGGAGCCAGTTTCTGGGAGGACTGATACTTTTGGCCCAAGGAAGGGAGTTACAAAGGTGGCAACCTGGGCTTCCTTAGGTTTCCCTCTTTGAAATACCATAGGAAGCTAATACCAGGAGAGGATTGGAAAAGACTTAGCAAAAATTCGGCTAAATCCAGAATCTTCTTTTGCAGTCTGCTCGATGTCTTTGACAAACATTTTGAACGATGGCCACCTGCTAGCACAGTGTTTCTCAACCTTGACAATTTTAAGGCATGTGGACTTCAACTCCCAGAATTCCACAGCCAGCATTGCTGGCTGTGGAATTCTGGGAGTTGAAGTCCACATGCCTTAAAATTGTCAAGGTTGAGAAACACTGTGCTAGCAGATCCTTGGCTTATATAATTGTGTGTCTTGTATAGCTCCTACATCTGCTGCGTAGCTATCTCTTGGTTTAGAAGTGAGTTTAAAAACTTTCGGGCTATCTTTTGAGTTGCCAGATTCCCCCGCACAGCCATCCATGTAGGCGGTTGCTGGTCAGGAGACGCTTCATCCTCCCTTTGCTAGGAGAGTTTGCTTTCTAAAATTAGATTGTGGTGATTCTTTCTCATTGCACAATGCGTGGGGGGGGGGAAGGAAGAAGGAATTTTTGGATGGCTTCTGAAGGCTGTGGGTGGGTGAATCATTGTGGAGATTGTGAAGCTAGAATTGGACCAGAGCATTAAAATAAGGTTTGAATCATATTTTGCAACTATCTGCTCAGTGTAATTGAGTGCATATCACTGCTATTGTACATGGAAAAGAAGAGTGTGTCTCTTTCTGTTGACTTCTTACTGAGGGAACTCTAGGGTGGACAAAATGTTTCCATACTAAACTATCAAGAGGTTCAGGGCAAATGCTGCTTCCTTTCATGCACAATTTAATAAATTAAGCAGTAGGCAGACTTAATGTGCCTCACCATGTTCTTATCCTCTCCTCTTTCTTTCTTTCTTTCTTTCTTTCTTTCTTTCTTTCTTTCTTTCTTTCTTTCTTTCTTTCTCTCTTTCTTTCTCTCTTTCTCTCCCTCCCTCCCTCCCTCCCTCTCTCCCTCTTTCTTTCTTTCTTTCTTTCTTTCTTTCTTTCTTTCTTTCTTTCTTTCTTTCTTTCTTTCTTTCTTTCTTTCTTTCTCCCCTCCAATTGTTTGACTTATCCACCCAGGGGACTATCAGGGAGGGCACAGACTGCTGTTTTGTCAGAGATATGTACAGAACTGTTGCAAAGAGTTTTTGGAAGGGAACCAGTCGCCGCAGCTCCTGGTTACTCCCTGGGGTGGAGGGGGTGTGGTGGAGAAGATTTCACATTTTAAGCATGACCTTCTTGAATTTTTGCCTAGGTTCCTCGACTTATCTTGTGGCTGATGGTCGAGCTGGCTATCATTGGATCGGATATGCAAGAAGTCATTGGCTCAGCAATTGCCATTAACCTCTTATCTGTTGGGAAGTAAGTTAGCTATTTCATTCTTTGAATCTTTTGTGCTTTTAGCAGTATCCTGCTGGTCACGAGTTGAAACCACACAAGAGATACAATCAAGGAAGAAAACTCCATATCAAATCTAGGAATTCTTTCCCCAGTCAGTGCATTTTTTCACAACCGGACACCGATAATATTTACATCGTAGTCATGGGATGTATATGATTTACTGCGCTTTAATGGCAAGACTTTTTAAATGCCTGCAGATAGGTCACATTTGAAAGTGAGCTTTTCAAGCGTGAAAAGGTGACTCAATGACTCAAACGAGGCAGGTGACATTTAAGGAAAACTAGCCTCAGTTCCTTCAGGTTTTTTTTTCCTATTTGCCCTTTTCTTGTGTCTTTCCCTGAAAAACCCTACGAGTATTTATATAAGCATTCACTAACATTGAATCAGGGTAACTTGAAATGATCAAAAGATGTCTTGACCGAAGGCAATTGAATTACGAAATTCACTGTTTAATAGCCACTAATTTTAATTAGTTTAGTCCATGAAGAATTAGGCGATCAGGGGCTATTTGATACTTTATTAACGCCTAATCAAAAGGAGCATGTATGTTTTAAATGCTAGTTGCTAGCAAGGAGAAAGAGCAGGAGAGGGTTATTATTCTCATGTCCTGCTTGCAAGCTTCCAGATTCAATCTGGTTGGTGATTCTGTGGTACCGATCCTTGAATTACAAGGACCTCTAGCCTGATCAAAAGGATCATAATGTCTTTGTGTATCCACTTTCTAGTACAGTCTAGTGCTCGACTTACAACCACAGTTGAGCCCCAAATTTCTGTTGCTAAGCGAGACATTTGTTAAGTGAGTTTTGCCCCATTTTACGGCCTCTCTTGCCACAAATGTTAAGTGAATCACTGCAGTTGTTAAGTCAGTAACAAGGTTGTTCAGTGAATTTGGCTCCCCCGTTGACTTTGCTTGTCAGAAGGTCGCAAAAAGAGGTCACATGACCACAGGATGCTGCAACAGTCATAAAAGTGAACCAGTTGCCAAACGTCTGAATTTTGATCAGAGGACCATGGGGACGTTGCAATGGTCATAAGTATGAAAAATGGTCCTATGTCACTTCTTTCAGTGCCATTGGAACTTTGAATGGTCATTAAACAAACTGTTGTACGTTGAGGACTACCTGTGTAATAGGTTGGTGAGAAAGCCATAGTCCAATGTCAAAAGAACATGCGAAGTCCAGTGTTCAACTCTTGATAAATCTTGATAAAGCTGCTTGAAATTATGTGGTGCATTGATTCCATTCATTGCATAGCATGGATGAACATCTTATCCTAGGCCAGGGGTAGGCAACCTTGGCTCTTTTATGACTCGTGGACTTCAACTCCCAGAATTCCTGAGCCAGCCACGCTGAGGGGAAAGGGAGAGTTTCCAAGCTGAGCCATGCTGGCTCAGGAATTCTGGGAGTTGAAGTCCACGAGTCATAAAAGAGCCAAGGTTGTCTACCCCTGGCCTAGGTTGAGGGTCATAGACAGACTTCTGATGCATGACTGCACCACTTTCTTAAAGGCGTGAAGAAAACCATGAATACTTTTGCAGGTCATATGTAACATCAGGATGTAGCTTAATGTAGTATCAGTGTGGTCTCTCGATATAAGCACTATCAAATGGCATCTAAAGATACACCAGACACCTTTTGGGCACCCATCATGCTCATTACCCGATATTACTTTTTAGACCTATTTAAAATATTTACATTTTTTTAAAAAAAAGATGCTGCTGTGCTGCAAAGCACCTGTAGCATTTTAAATGTCAAAGTTCCTCTGCTCTCCAAAATTTCTTAAAAAGTAAACTTAATGGGCAGCTGCATCTTAGTGATTTGTTTAGAGGTGTATCCATTGCTCTGGAAAGAAAGGGACAAAGAAAAGCAGGAGTGGTAGGAAACCGCTGGGTGTGAGGAATCATAGTGGCGGTCAAGTGATATCCTAGGAAATTGGCACTTGTATTCCTCATAGCAGCCATGTTTTGAATGGGGAGCCCTTCCAGTTGTCATTGTGCAGTTAATAAAAGCAAAAGGTTCACCAGATGCCAAGTGTACCTTAACAGCTCAGTTGGGTCTCCTGCTGCATTGTGTACCTAGCTATAATCGCTTCAATTCTTTTCTGAATAAGCTTTAGCAAAATTCTGTTTCAGAGCTTAGAGTTATTAGATGATGGCTGCAGCCCAGGTAGATGGCTTCCTTTGAAGTATTGCAACAAATAATGGAATCAGCTTGCTGTCTATGCATCCTAAAACAATGTTTGGTCTTCTAAATGATAGGATGACTCAGACGTCACTCTGACAGAGCCAGTGTTAATAGCTAAACTACACAAAATGTGACACTTTTCTGCATGTGTTGCTAGAAACGGGCAACGCTTTTGCCCCATAAATTTCTAGCAAACTGCCCAGTTTGTTTCCTGGTTAAGGAGGCTTTCTGTTCTCTGGATTGTAATGACTCTCCCCTCGCCCTTAAATAAGTGATTTGTCCACCTTTTGTACTTAGAGATAAATTTGGGCTGCATCCTAGGTGCCTTAAATGGAAGGAATAATCAGGTAGACTCTGACCTATGTAGAAGAACAATCTGAAGCTTGTTCATCTGTTTTTGTCTTCCCACAGAATCCCTTTGTGGGGTGGAGTGCTCATAACAATAGCTGATACATTTGTGTTTCTCTTCCTGGACAAGTATGGTAAGCGCTTTTCTTACTGAAGCAGATTTCTTTTATTTCTTAAATAATCTCTTGATTGATGAGATTAAGGCACTTTGATGTGTGGGAAGGGCTCTGCTTGCCACGCTCCAGAGAATTCACTTTGTGCACAAACCTGGAAAGATTTTAACTTGATTCCTTTCAAAAATGACTTGCCATGCAGAGGAGACAATTATATGTGCG